TCGAATCAAGTCGAGTTTAAATCGAGTCGAGTTAAATATTTAACTTGACTCGAATTTGGCTTGACTCGCAAATCATCAAGTCAAAAAAACACCAACTCGACTTGATTTGAACTCAACTCGGCTTATCTGACTCGTGAGTTAATTCGACTCGTCCGGAACTCTAATATTACTGAAGGAGAAGATATAGAGAATATCATAAAAGATCTTTGTAATATATCTATTTGTTATATAAAACTTAATTGTGAAAATCAAAATAAAAAATTTTTAATGTTAGTTGAAATATCAGGATTAAATGAATAGATATGGCTAATCGAAAGATCTTATGCAAGATTTATTTAAATAAGAACATTACTAAATATAGGTGAATAGAAAAATTACTCACTAAATCAAATTAAAAAAATGGTTAAGACTAAAATAAATAAACTACAGCTGCTAATTTCTAAGCCTATAAAGCAAAAACCTCATGAACTGTTTTAGCAATAAATACAGGTATTATAAATCTATTTTAATTAAATCAACAATCACTTTATTATTATTATTTTTTATTATCTAATTATATTTAATTATACTAGAAATAAAACTAAAAGGATTTTGAGTAGAAACTCTAAAAGAAGAATTGAATAATAAAAATATTCTATTTACAAATCAAAATAAAAAGTTAACATTAGTGAAATTACTTGAATCAAGCATAATTTCTGAAATAACAATAGGTAATTATATTGCATTCACATAATAATTTAAAGATAGTTTTAAAAAATTCTAAATTTCAAAGAAACGATTAATACTATATCAAATAATGAAAAGATTGTACTGTATGAAAATTTGTAAGTTTTGCATGAAATAATTATTTTTTCTTAAAAAAGATTATAACTTATCTTATTTTAACATTAACATTAGTTTTAAATTAAACTGTGAATGGATATTGAAAGAAAATCAGATATTTGAAAAAAGAAGTAAACTCGTATACTAAAAGAAGTTGTCACTTTATTACAGGATTTTTTTCAAGCTGAAAATGCAAATAAGAGTGATCATCATTCTGCAGAAGATATGTATGTAGAATTAAATAACATAGCTGATAAAAAGGAAATAAGTGCTAAATTTATACCTAAAATTAAACTACATATAGTTATATTATTTGATATGCAGCAGCTGTAAAGCTGAAATAGCAAAAATAGTATTGAATTACAAATAGCAAGTTAAAAAATAGCAAATTCTTACAATAAAATAAAGTTTTAGCAAATCATAAAGAAATAATATTTTTTAGAAATAAAATAGAATAAGTTGAATAAAAAATGATGAATAAATAAACAGTTTTTAAATATTTATAAAAGGAGATTTTGTTATAATCAAAATGTGCAATCCTAAAATTTCGCTATATATAAATTATGCAAAAATTCATAAATACCGCAAAGTAAAAAATGCAAAAAATGTACAGATTAGAATTTTTTTAATATACATAAAGTCTTGGTTTTATTGGTTTAAATATTCATAATTTATCCTATATTTTATATTACATTATAAAAAATTTTATTAAGAGATTTTTATAGAATTTGTAACAAAAATCTACTTAATTAGGAAATTTTATCCAGAAATTAATTATAAATTTTCTATTAATAATCAGTAAATCACAAATTAAGGACTTAAAATGCATTTATAGTATCATTTAACATCAAGTTTTCATTTTGGTAGATATCTTCTGAAATACCTTCCAAATCTACATTTATATCAGGAAGAATTTTTGTATATCGCCAGCAGTTATGAATTACTTCAACACCAATTTCATTCCATTTTTCTTTAAAATATCATAAATATGTTAATTCTAATTTTATTAATAATATTATTCTTTTAATATATTTTTTTTAA